GGCAGCGACGCGGTGCTGTCGGGCGTGGGGCTGCACGTGGACTCCTTGGAGTCGTCGTCCTCCGACGAGCAGCGCGCCTCGCCCTTTTTGGCGCCCGCCGCGCCCGCCGCACCCTTGGCGCTGGCCGCGCGCTCCTGTTTGCGGAACTTGGCCCGGCGGTTCTGGAACCAGACCTGCGGGCACAAGGGCCGGTCAGCCCGGGGCCGCAAGGCGCGGGGGGGGGACCTCCGTCCGGAAGGGGCCGGGTTAGGATTATTTCCGGCCTTTCGAGCGTCGGCCCCTCGGCCCTCCAGCATTCGGCTCGGTGCCCTCCTTGTCTCTCCGCTGCCCTCCTCTCCTCCACTTGCCCCTTCCTCCAGGTCCTTAGGGTGTTCCCCTTGGGATCTGCTCGCCCGCGATCCCCGCTGCCCGCTACTGCTCTTGGTCTCCTGGAGGGGACTCCTCCTTTGCTCTCCTCATCACCCAAAGCCCTGCCCCCCTATTCCCTCCTACAAGAAGCTCCGGGAGTTGCGCCTGCAGTGTCCTACGGCGGTGGAGAGCAGCTTAGGGCACGAGGGGAAACCTTCTGTCCAGGGTCTCCGGGAAAGGCGGGCCATATGAACATCTGTACTTCGGATTTGTAAGGCAGACAACAGGGTCCGCCCTGGCCCCGCTCTCCTCGGTTCTGCGCCTGCCTCGAGCCCGGGCTTTCTAGGCTCAGGGGTTTCACAGCTGCAGAGCTGGGGAGGGGACCTGGAGGCGATGAATGGCTTACCCCCACTCCTCCGCCTCGCTCGGCCCTGAGGCCGCCTGGGGCTCCCCTTCTACCCGCTCATTCTCCTTCCTGGCTTCCTAAGCATCATTCTGCACGCCCAGCCCTACCTGGGAGACTGAGGGGAAATCGGGGGGCTGAACAGCTCACTTCTCCCGAGGGCCTCAGGTCTGCCAAGTCCTGGTCCCACCTCTCCAGGCTCCTCGTCCTCTCCTGCCGAGCTACCCCCCGCCCCCGACTGCGCCCCGGCCCCTGGTCCTAACTCTCCGCCTCCAGGCTGCACCTGCCCGCCGCCCGAGTGAGGCCCCTCTGTCCCCCGGCCCTCCAGGTGTCGGGCACTACTCTCCTTCCCCCTCTCCGCGCGCACACACTCCCGTACACACCTGCACACGAGCCTCAGTGAGGTCGATCTTGAGCGCCAGCTCCTCGCGCGTGTAAATGTCGGGGTAGTGGGTCTCGGCGAAGACGCGCTCCAGCTCCTTGAGCTGCGCGCTGGTGAACGTGGTGCGGATGCGCCGCTGCTTGCGCTTCTCGTGCAGGCCCGACGGCTCCGGGAAGAACTTGTAGGGCACTAGGGGTGTGTGCGGGAGGCGGGAGCAACGAGGGTGGGGGCGTGAGGGGGCGACCTCAGCCCGCTGTGTCCTGCCCCTGAGGAGATCGCTCACTGTCCCCCGCCCCTGACCTGGCCCCTCGGCTTGGTCCTCTCATCCTCAGGTCGAGAGTCTTACTCATCGCTAGATGGAGCCGGCAGGGGTGAAGGAGGACAGGGTGCAGGGAGACCTGGGGCCCAAGAGCAGCAGCGAAGGAACCAGAATGTGATCCTCGGTCAAGACCGCTGACCTGTAGTTGGGCCTTCACCGTGTTCCCTCCACCTCTCGCCAGTCCATTCGCCCCTCCCCACTCCCCTCGGTGCGTCTCTCCCTCAGTCAGTCTGCCAGCTTGACTTCAGGTCCTGCTCTGCCCACTGGAGCCTTGGCTGTCTGTCAGGTCTCACCAGCATTGCCAGTCTCCCCAGTAACCAGTGCTGGACCTCAGCTGGGCGACTGAGATGCCCCTGCCTGAGTCTACTTTCAGCCCTGCCAGGCTCTCTGCTGTGTATGGATTTGGCCCCCTCCACCCCCCATCTCTCTCCTTCCCAGGCCTCCTTTCCTCAGCCCCATCTCATAGCCCATCTCCTCCAGGTGTCCCCTCTCCTCTTCCTCATCTCTCTCCATCTGCATCTCTCTCCAACTTTTCCCTTCTGGACCATTCTTCTCTTTGTGCCATTGAGAAGGGTTTTTATTTCTCCCCGCCCAGGTTCCTCCATCTTCTCTTTGCCCTTCTCCCTCCCAGGTACCTCATTCTGTGTCCCAACTCCCCCAAAGCCAGCGCCACCCCTCCGCCTCACTCTTCCCATCCCTGTCTCCTATCTACCCCATCCAAGTCCCCACTGCCCTCTAGACAGTGTTTCTGACAGAAACACTATCTCCCCATCCCTGTCTCCAGGCCCTGTTTAGGTCTCCATATTCTCCAAGGGTCCTCAATATCCTTCATCTTTGTCTTATCTCCCTACTTCTCTACCTCCCCTAATCCTTGCCTCCAACACCCCTTCCTGTCCCTATCTTGCTCATCTCTGTTTCCAATCTTCCTTCATCCCCATCTCTCATAATTCCTGTCCGTATCACCTGGTTCTTCTCTCTATCTCCCTAACCCTGGGTCCTGATTTCACCAAGGTCCCCAATCTTCCCATCTCTGCTCACATCTCTCTGTACCTGTCCCCATCTCCCCCATCTCAGAAATCCATCTCTCTGGGGCCCACCTCCCCAATTCCTGTCTCCATCTCCCCAATCTTCATCCACATCTGGTCCAGAGTATCCAATCTCCCCATCCCTGGCCCAGTTTCTGGCTCCATCTCCCTGGTTCTTATTTCTCCAAATCCAGGTCCCTATCTCACCATCCCTCCCCACTCCCCAGGTGCTTATCTTCTACTTGGGTCCCTGGTGGTCTTCCCAGGAAGGCAGGAGATAAGGACATTGGGTGGGGCAGCCTGGACTCTAATCGGAGGGATGGGGATGACTGAGAGGCTCCAGGAGGTTGAGGGTTCAGACAGGGTCTTGGATCAAGGGGCTTGGTGGGGGAGTCATAGGGACTGCTTCCGGGTTCTGCAGGACTCTAGCTGGGAGAGTATCCAGGGGGAATGGGGAAATGAAAGTGGCTTAATGACCTGGGCACCCGTTTTTTCGGGCCACGGAATGGGTTTCAGTGGTGCATGAGGGTTTGGGCACCGGTGGATGGGTCCAAAACCGGGTAGGAGGGGCCTGATGGTGCTGGGGCTCTAGGAAGGTTTCCATCTGGGCAGCTCAGCTGTCACAGGGATCCTTGTTCGGATGGGGCATGAAATGGAGTGGGGATGATGGGGGGGGGGGTCTGGCTGGCTGAGCCAGAAGTGTCTTCCAAGGACACAGGGGATGGAAAGGTTTGGTGGTCAGTCTTTGCAGGTGGGGAGGAGAGGGCCTGGTGAGGGGCCTGAGGCTGGACTGGGGATCTAAGTCCCTTGACCTGAAGAGCACAGGATAGGATATGGCAGCGAGAAAGAGGAATGGGAAGGATGAGAGGGTGGGGCTCAACTCTGCCTAGGGGAACCCAGTCTTACAGGGGGGGGCTGGGGGGTCCTGCGAGGCGTTGGAGGGTCTGGCCAGCGCAGGGATGGTGGCGGTTGTGGGGGACAGTCGCAATCACTTGCCGAGTAGGGCAGGGGCTGGGGGTTCCCCAGGATTTGGAGGGAGGGTTGGGCCGGGGGTGGGCTCACCTGCTGAGTAGGGCGCGGGCTGGTGGTCGCGGAGAGCGCCAAGCGCGCAGTTGGAGGAGCCGAGCGCGGGGCAGGGCGGCCCAGCCGCGGGGAAGGCGGGCCGCAGGGGGCTGTACTGGAAGCCGCCGGGCTGGCTGCAGGCGCCGAAGTCGCCGTAGGCGGACGCCTCCATGGCCGCCACGCACGAGTCGTACGAATTGAGGTAGGAGTAGTCCATCGGCCCGGGGGGCGGGAGCAGGGGCCTGGCCGGGCCGGGTCGGGGTCGGGGTCCTGGGCCGGGTCACGGTCGGGATGGAGGTTCGAGTGCCAGGCGCCGAGGACCCGAGGCCAGCTCTGAGCGCCCGCGAGTCTGCCCGCCCCGTCGCGGCCGCGCTCCGCCCGGGTGCAACGCAAGTGCAGCCCGGCCCGGCCCGCGCGCCTTTTAACGCGCAGGACCCCGCGGAGGGGGCGGGGCGGGGCGAGCTCCGCGGGGCGGGGCCTGGGCAGCCCAGCCCCGCCCCCAGCCACCCCCGACCCCCACCCCAAAGGGTCCCCGCCGCCCTCTTAGGGCTCCGGAGGTACAGGGCGGGGCTGAGCGGGGCCCCATCCCTAGAGTTCCCATCCCGTCCCAATTCGGACCAGATCTTCCGTCTCTACGCATCGTGCCAGACCGAGGGTCCTGACCCCTTTCCCCGGCCTCCCCACCTGCGGCCCCACAGAAGGGAGGGGAGACAGGCCCGGCGGCGCTCGTGTGAAGAAGTTAATTCAATTCACCCTGTTAACCAAGTTATTCCGATCCAGCCCCTCGGCCCCGCCCCCAGCGAGGTCCCATCCCGACGGAGACCACGGAGGCGACCCAGGAGGGGGAATGGAGACCAAGACCAGGAAGAGACAGAGACTAGGATGGGGACGTGCCTGAAGGGAGGAGACAGAGACGGAGACAGAGAGAGAAGGGGACAGAAACAGTGATGGAGAAAGGGACGAGAGGGATACAGGTACACAGATGGAGACAAGGATGAGACATGGACGAGAGAGATGGTTGGAGACGGCGGCCAGAGGGAGACAGGGACAGCGATGGAGACAAAGCTGAAACACGTACAAGAGAAAAGCAGGGATGGAGATGGGGGCAAGGCAGCGACAGAGGAGACGCGGATAAGAGAGACAGAGAGGGGGACCGAGCAAGAGTGAGGCAGGCATGGGGACAGAGGAGGCACCGGGATGAGACATGGACGGAAACAAGGGCTGCGATGATCAGGAGAGAGAGGAGACAACACGAGACGGTGATAGTGAGACAGACGCACACGGAGGGACAGTCGCAGAGAGACAAGGCCAGGGACAGACACAGCGGAGGAACAGGCTGAGAGGCGCAGAGAAAGAGCTTTGGAAAGCTGCGAGCCGCGAGCCACGATCCACAGCCAGAGCGCCCAGGGCAGGGGGGAAGGATTGTGGGGGCGGCACCTCAGGAGGCTGCCGGCTGCCGAGGGGGAGGGTCGCTGGAGCGCAGGTCTTTCTATCCTGATGTGTCCTGAAGGCCACACCTTCAGGGCCCGGCCTGCCTCTCCCCTCCCCAAGTTCCCCTAGCTTAGTCCCCCTCCCCAGTGCCACTGGGTGTGACCCTCTGGTCCCCAGCACCCTGGGCACAGAGAGTGTGTGTGTGATGAACGTCAGGACCCAGGAATAACCGAGTGACCCCTTCGCTCTCCCTCAGCCTCTCACCTCCCTCCTCCAGAGGCCCTTTTCTTTTCCAGAAAAACAACCTAGACTCAGTCTGGACCTGGCCACAGACGGGGCACTCCGCAACTCAGCCATCCGCCTTCACACAGTGGGACTACCGGACGCAAATCCTTTCCGGAAGAACAGAACAGAGGACTCTTCTGCCCCTGCAGCTCGCCTGAGGTGGATTGGGAGCTTCCTCACCCAGCCCCCAGCCTTCCCTGCCCAGATCTTTGCAGGTCCTGAAGATGGGGGAGTGGAGACCCAGCAAGAAGCCAGGTGAGGGGCTGGCCCTCTGGCGTAAGTGCGTGCACTCCACTGCTGGCGGCCTGTGTTCAGATCCTGGGCCTGTACCAGGGCACTGCTTGTCAGGCCATGCTGTGGCGGCATCCCATATAAAGTGGAGGAAGATTGGCACAGATGTTAGCTCAGGGCCAGTCTTCCTCAGCAAAAAGAGGAGGATTGGCATGGATGTTAGCACAGGGCTGATGTTCCTCAAAAAAAAAAAAAAAAAAAAAGCCAGGCGAGAGGCCCACCCTTATTACCAGCCAAAGTCCTTGGGGGATGAGAGAAGGGCTCCCAGAACACCCCCAACCCCAGTTTACCAGCACAGTGGGGAGCATGCCCACCCCCAGGTCATCCACTTTCCTGGCCACCCATTCTTTGCTTCACACAAGGACCACCTGTCCCCAATTTCTGCATCTACTCCGTGCCAGGGGGTTTCTTTGAGGTGTTTTCTCAAATTACTTTTTAGGTCTAAACTTTAAAACTGACAGCAAAACTGCTTCAAAAAGTTCTCCCACTGGTGTGTGAGATGACCTCTCACCCTGACACATCCTCTGCAGGGAGACCACGGGATCTCAGAATTGGGAAATGAGACAGGCCCGCCGCTCTCCTTAGTCCTCCCATGGCTCTCCACTGCCCTCAGATCAAATCCAAGCCCTCCCTCTGGCCACAATGTCCCCTGCGCCAGTGCTCCAGCCTGCCTCCCCGTCACCTTGGCTTTCTTTGCAGCCCTCACACATTGATCTTTCAGTTCAGAGCTGGTCTCTCTGGCTGGAATGTTCATTCCACCCCTCCCCCAAAACAACAACAACAACAAACCTGGTTGTGTCCTGTTTATCCACCAGGTCTCAACTTGGACATAACTGCTTCCTGGAAGCCTTCCCTGATGCCCCTAGATTAGGTTGGGTGACCCATAGTACCTCCCTGTCATTTGGTTACTTGTGTCACCTTACTGAAGTATTTGCAATGAAGTATAAGGTCTCAGGGCAGAACTCTGTCCTCTCGTCGGTCACTTTGTCCCCAGCCCTACCACGGTGTCTAGCACATCACTCTGCACATGATAGGTCTTCTCATATCTGTTTGTTGAATGAATTAATGAAGGCTAACCTGAAGTCTTTGTGTTGGACGATCCTGCCCTTGTTTCCCCGGGGAAGGAATCCCCACGCCCACTTCCACTCTCCACTCTGAAAAGGCAACATTCTCCCCCCTTCATTCCCTCACTCTGCAGGGACAGAAGACTTCTTCCCTCTGGGCCAACCTTCTGCTTGGAAGGAAGTCCTTCCTCATCAGAGGAATTTGCACGTGGCCAGATCCCTTCCCCGGTGACCAAGCTGAGACAATGGAACAACTGAAGCTTGCATGCAGGGACAAGCAGAGATGTGAGGGGAGGTGAAGAGGCCCTGGTTCCATTGTCTCAGAGACCATGATCTGTCCCTGTCATTTCTATAGTTTGGTCATTGAGCCAATAAATTCCTCTTTCTGCCTAAACGACTTCAAGTTGGGCTTCTGACACTTGCAACCAGGAGTTCTGAGCGACACAATCTGTAAATCTCTAACACCTTTACAGGCAATCAGTGGTAGTGATGATTAAAGGTTTATCGTAACATGCATGTTACAGGGTTAGCTGGGCAGGAGCTGGCCTTCCCAGGACTCAGAACTGTGGAGTTTCAGGTCCCTCTCTCTCCAGGCAGCCGTTTGCATCCGCCGATTGACACAGAAGCTGAGACACATTCCAAGAAAATGCTTTGAACCCTGTCCACTGTTGGGTTCAGGTCTTTCAGATGGTGGAGGAGAGGAGACTTTGGAGGCTGGTTGGCCGTGTGTGTGCATGTGTGAGTGAGTGTGTGTGTGTGTGTGTGTGTGTGATATAGGGGCAGGCAAGAGGACTTCTTGAGAACTTCCCATAAAGGAAGAAAGAGATAGGCATAGTGGGCTGGACTCTGCAAGGGCCTCCCACCAAGAGAGGCTGGTGGTTGAGATCTGACATGGGGACCTCATCGTGACTGAGACCCCTCCTCCAAATTCGCACACTCCTGGGAGAACTAAAAACGCTATGGCAGAAACACTGTTACAGCAATCTTGCCGAGAAGCCCCCTTGCTGAGCACAATGGCTTCACTTCCGTGAGTGATGGCAGATTTGGGAGCCTGGGTGCTGGGTTACAGCTCTGGTGCTGCCACAAACGAGCTGAATGACTTAGGAGAATTTACTCAACTACTCTGTGCCTCAGTTTTCTCACGTGTAAACTGGTTTATTTTAGTGATTAGGTGAATTACAATATATGAAGTGTTTGCATCATTCCTGGCACATAGTAGACATTAAATAAATTAGCTACCACCACCAGCCCTTCTCCCTCTCACCAAGTGACTGAGCCCCGTGGGACGGACAAACCCAGACTTCACTCTGGCCAGGCTCCCCTGATCTGTCACGCCTGACACCTGGACATGTCATCTAGACATGGACCCATATCTTTGCAGCACAGCATCACCTCCACCCTCCGGATTTCAGAAGACATCAGGGCCCTGCAGAGGTGCCCAGCCTGACCTCTTGATTTTCGTAGGTGAAGAGACTGCGGCCCAAGGAGGGGTCCTGAAGGAGGAGTGAAAGTAAAAACAATGGGTGTGTATCGGGGTGGGGGGATCCCCCACAGAGGGAGTGGCATCCAACAGGGAGCCTGGGGAGGAGGGACAGTGGGGACTGTCCTTTCTCTTCTGCTCTGATCCCAGCTCTGGCACTGACTGGCTCTGTGAGCCTGGACAGTGGAAGCGCCATGAGAACAGGCGAGGAAGGACCTGTGCGCTGGAGAACTCTTGCTGCCTGTGGTCACGGGAGAATGGTAGCCTGGGAATTCCCGGGTACCAGATCCTTACTCCCACTTCTAGGAGCAGCCACTGATCTTAGCCTCCCCTCAGAACTCTGAGCAAGGATCTCCTGGGCTCAGAGCGCGGCCGCCATGCTGATTTATTAATCCAGTGCACTCCTTGCCGGTCCTTCTCTCCTATGGGGGGAGAACGTGGAGCAGTGCCTCCTCCCTACCATTGAAACACATCTTCTCACACTCTGAAGCAATGTCCTCAGTGTCACCATTGTGCAACTACGATTGGAAGCCAAGCTTGATCAGACATCCACGTCTAACTTCTAATAAGGGATGGAGCTTATCTATCAGTGAAAAGTTAACACATCGTCAGGTCCTGCTTAAGGACCCTAGAACTCCCCTCACCCCCGTTTATCTACCAACTCCATAGGCAGCCTTCTTCCAAATCCCGTTCTCTCCTGCTATAACTATCTGGTCCAGGGAGGGTTGGAGGCAAACCATTAGCTGTATATTCTCCCAATCTGTCTATCAGAACCTATAGTCTCTTGTTCATCTCTCTGATATGGGGACAACCCTTGTTGACCATT